TGTTTTCTCTGGGGCACCCTACATATCTGTCGTTTTCCACATTCCCACCAAAAAACACAGGGGGGGGGCCCTGTTGTATCTCTACAAGGCGGAGTACCCCCCCCCCTGCGACAATATCTGGGTTTCTGTTGTGACACCTTCAGGAGTCGGGGGGGGGGTTCCCCCCCCCCTCCCCCCAACTAGAAAATCCTCAGCCTTGTCGGAAGCAGAGTTCATTTCCCCTCACAAACAAGAGAAATTTTTTTGATCCGGGATTTTAAAAACTTCCTGGCAGTGGTAAGGGCCTGCGCTGTGGCTCACTAGGCTAATCCTCCACCTAGCAGCGCCGGCACACTTGGTTCTAGTCCCTGTCGGGGCACCGGATTCTGTTCCGGTTGCTCCTCTTCCAGTCCAGCTCTCTGCTGTGGCCCGGGAGTGCAGTGGAGGATGGCCCAAGTGCTTGGGCCCTGCACCCCATGGGAGACCAGGAGAAGCACCTGGCTCCTGGCTTCTCAGCCGTAGCGGCCATTTTGGGTGTGAACCAATGGAAGGAAGACTTTGTCTCTCTCTCTCTCACTGTCTAACTCTGCCTGTCAAGAAAAAAAAATGAGTAAATAACGAAAGGGAGACTCAAAAGTCTCCAGATATGAAATAAAATAGAATCAACGATTCATTCACACAACAGCTAGGAAAATGGCACAGTCTTATCTGTGGTGCGATCCAAGCCCCGGACACCACCCTAGGCTCCAGCCCCCGCTGCCATTGCTGGAAGCCAGGTGACCCCATGGCCCAACCACAGGTGTCAGCCACACCCCCACGCTGATGGGATTCGCTGCTCCTACTTCCCTGCCCACCCCCAGCATAGGTTCAACAGGACCTGTTCCTGAACACGTGCTCTCCTGATCTCTCGCTTACTCCCTCCCCTCTCCCCGGCCCGTCGGGCTTCCCCCACCCGACAATAAACCTCTCCCCTAACTCCGGTGTTCGGTGTGTTCTGTGGCGGCCTTACAACAGCTTGGATCCCTCACAGAGGCCCGATGTTAGGTGAAACAAACAGGTCTCAAAGGTGGCAGACTATGATTGTTACGTGACACCCTCAGAAAAAGCCCTTCCAGGATGGAGAACTGAGCAGTGGGCCAGGCTTCTGCACAGGCATGCATCCCCACGGCTGCTGGGGAGCAGGAGGTCACACCTGCCAGCTGTTTCCTGGTTTGTTTCACTGACGTGTAGAGACCGCTGGATTCTAAGGGTGGGAGTTTGGTGCACTGGTTAGGATGCTGCTCGGGTACCCACGTCCTGTATCAGGATGCCCGGTGTGAGTCCCAGCCCTTCCACTTCTGAGTCAGCTTCCTGATAATGTGGGTCTTTGGAGGCAAAAGTTGATGATGCCTCAAGTGTCTGAGTCCCTCCCACCCACACGGGAGACCTGGACTGAGTTCCAGGCTCTTGGCCCAGCCCTGGAGGTTGGGGGCATCTGGGGAATGAACCAATGGAAATAAGATCTCTCTCTCTCTCTCTCTCTCTCTCTCTTTCCGTCCTTTTTCCCTTCAAATTAAAAATGTTAAATATCACTGGATTTTAGAACCTCATTTTCTAAAAGTAGCTTGAAGATACTTTTATGCAATATGGATGACTTTTAGAAATAATTTTTAAACTGCCTCAAAAGTATACAGATATTCTAATAGTAGAATGTTCTAGTAGGCCAGCGCCTGGCTCACTAGGCTAATCCTCCACCTTGCGGTGCTGGCACACCAGGTTCTAGTCCCGGTCGGGGCGCCAGATTCTGTCCCAGTTGCCCCTCTTCCAGGCCAGCTCTCTGCTGTGGCCCGGGAGTGCAGTGGAGGATGGCCCAAGTGCTTGGGCCCTGCACCCCATGGGAGACCAGGAGAAGTACCTGGCTCCTGCCTTCGGATCAGCGCGGTGCCGGCCACGGCAGCCATTGGAGGGTGAACCAACAGCAAAGGAAGACCTTTCTCTCTGTCTCTCTCTCACACTGTCCACTCTGCCTATCAAAAAAAAAAAAAAAATGTTCTAGTAGTAATCAAACAGTCTAATAAGGGCTGATGCTATGGTGCAGCAGGTTAAGCTGCACTGTGCAATGCCAGCAGGCTGTATAGGAGTGCTGACTCAAGGCCTGGCTTCTCTGCTTCCTACCCAGCCACCTGCTAATGTCCCCGGGGAGGTAGTGGAACATGGTCCGAGAATTCAGGATCCTGCCACCCATGTGGGAGACCCAGAGTTCCATTTGGGAAATGAACCAGTGGATGGAAGATCTCTCTTCCCCTCTCTCTCTGTCTGCCCTTCAAATAAATCAATCCTTTTAAAAAACCCAAGTGGCCTAATAATCAGATAATGTGACTTCAGTAGGGATAAACATTATATTTAAAAATTGTGAAAACTGATAAGAAACAGACAAGAGTTTATATAATGCCAAGAGGAAAGAAAATTATGGACATTTTGATTGCAACAATGTAAAAAAAATGCAACATGCAGAAATGAAAATGCAGTTTGACAGATTAAATTATAGGTCATTTATAACAATGTTTTCATCCTGTACAGCGTATTTTCTGTTATATTCAAAAGAAAAAACAGTAATAGCCCTAAGAAGCTGAGCTGTCCGCAGTCTCTGTTGAGGGTTTATCCTCACAGCTCACCCCTCCCCTCAACACAATGGCGTTGGATCTGCCTAATGGCCCACGATCAACTGCTGGGCTGCCCCTCACCACTCCTGGCCCATCTGGAGTCACCTGTGAGCGGCCATAGCTCCTCATCAAATTGTCAGCCTCTCTCTGTTCATGACCCACCTGCTGTGCGTGGCGCCAGAAGCTCCCAGGCTCTCGCGGCGTTGCTCTCTGTGGCTCCGGTGGAGTTCCCACCCCCCCTGCTGCTCTCCCGCTCCAGCGTCACCCGTGTCTCTGCACACTCAGACCCCCCCACTCCCCAGGCCTTCCACATCCCTCGCTCCCTCCCTTGGCGCAGACAAGAGTCAGAACAAGTTCTTGTCTGTAATCGTGGTTTCGAACACAAAATGGTAGCCTGGCGACCACCCTGACGAGCGAGGAACCCAGGTGTTAGCGGCTGAACTGAACACAGCACAGGTCAGAGGTGGGACTCAAGACGGGCACGTGAGGAAAAGTGGGCCCCGGGCCAGCAATGGACCGTGAGGGGCTGTGGCCGTTCTTGTATAGAACCAATCTGCTGAAATCCAAAAACCGGAGCATCGCTGAGACGAACGTTGGCCCTGCCCACCCCAGCTCCCGGCACAGGGGCAGCCTTGGCCAGTGAACTGTGAACACCAACAGCCCGTTGACAAGGCTAACCTCTATTTAGAGATCTTAGCATAAATGCTTTAAATATGTGCATCGCCTAACTAACTTCAAAGAGCCCCAAATTAGGGGCTGAGATGTGGCGCAGTGGGTTGAGCCGCCACCTGCAACACCAGCATTCCGTATGAGCACCAGTTCAAGTCTTGGTTCCTCCATGTACAGTTGAGATCAAGCTTCCTTTTTTTTGAAGATTTCATTTATTTATTTGAATGGTAGAGTTACAGAAAGAGAGAGGGAGAGACAAAGTTCTTCCATATGTTGGTTCACTCCCCACATGGCTGCAACGGCTGGAGCTGAGCCAGTCCAAAGCCAGGAGCCAGGAGCTTCCTCCAGGTGTGCCACGTGGGTGCAGGGGCCCAAGCAATTGGGCCATCTTCCACTGCTTTCCCAGGCCATAGCAGAGCCGGATCGGAAGAGGAGCAGCCTGGACTAGAACCTGCGCCTGTATGGGATTCTGGCACTGCAGGTGGGTGCTTAGCCCACTATGCCGCAGTGCTGGACCCTCAAGCTTCCTTTTACTGCGCCTGAGAAAGCAGCAGAGGATGGCCCACGTGCTCAGGCACCTGCCACCTATGGGAAAGGCCTGGATAGAGTCCCAGGCTCCTGGCTGTGGCCTGGCCCAGCCCCAGCTGTTGTAGCCATTTGGGGAGTGAACCAGCAGATGGAAGACCTCTCTGTGAATAGAGAAAATAATAATAAAAGACCAAAAATAAAATGGAAACTTCTTACGTAGGCAGACTTACTTCCAGGGGAAGCAACCCAGCCTTCCTCTCTGATCTCATCTTTTTTTTTTTTTTTTTTTTTTTTTTTTTTTTTTGTTTGTTTGACAGGCAGAGTGGACAGTGAGAGAGAGAGACAGAGAGAAAGGTCTTCCTTTGCCGTTGGTTCACCCTGCCACTGGCCGCCGCGGCCCGGCGCACGCGCTGATCCGATGGCAGGAGCCAGGAGCCAGGTGCTTTTCCTGGTCTCCCATGGGGTGCAGGGCCCAAGCACCTGGGCCATCCTCCACTGCACTCCCTGGCCACAGCAGAGGGCTGGCCTGGAAGAGGGGCAACCGGGACAGAATCCGGCGCCCCGACCGGGACTAGAACCCGGTGTGCCGGCGCCGCTAGGTGGAGGATTAGCCTAGTGAGCCGCGGCGCCGGCCTTGATCTCATCTTTTAAAACCGCCCCCTCTGTGTTCTCAGAGCTCCCCCCACGCTGGGGTCCTCAGCACCCAGGTTCTCGGCCTGGGACGCCTCCCACATCTCCAATGGCAGCGTCTTCAGGTCTCGCAGCTCACCCACCCTTTACACATCTCTGTTCTTTCCCTTTATTTCTCCTCCAGATCACACCACCTCACTCTTTCCAAAATCCTTCACCTGTGGCCAACTGCTAGGTTTCCCTTTTTCTTTTCTTATTTTTAAATTTATTTTATTTGAAAGACATCACAGAGACAGAGGGAGACTGACAGAGGTCTCCCATTCTAGTTCACTCCCAAAACTCCCACAACACCCGGGGCTGGGCCAAGCCAAATCCAGGAGCTCAGAAATCAGTTTGGGTCTCTCATGTGGGTGGCAGGGACCCAAGTACTTGGGCCATCACCATTAGCAAGAAGCTGGAATCTGGAGTGTCGCCGGGACTTGAACCCGGTCACTGTGATATGGGATGTGGGCGTTCCAAGTGGTGGCTTAACGACCATGCCAGATGCCAGCCCCTCTGAGCTCACCGTAACTCATCTCCCCAGGGAGGCCTTTCCTGCCACCAGCTCGCTCCGTCACACGTCACATGTCCGTCTTACCGACAACTCGGCACTTAGCGCTGTCTCCGTCCTTTGGTCGCAACCTGCCTCTCCTCTCGGTCCCGAGCTCCGGGAGTGCAGACCCCTGCCTGTCTCCCACCTGCCCTGTGTCTACCGTGGCGTCTCCATCAATCCTGCTTGAATAAGTGAGTGAAGAGTTGAACTGCCCTTCCTTTTGCTTCGTTCCCGTCCGCCAGGCCAGCTGCCTGACAGGTTAGAAGGTCTGCTGGGAAGACTGCGGGTGCACTGCGGGTGCTCTGCCGTCCTCTAACAGTTAAGACTCACTCTGGATGGGTTTCTGTTACCTGTCTGTGTAGGAGTCCATGAGCCTGGTCATCGTCACCATCATCACGACCTGCCATTCAGACTGCCAGGCTGCACCAGCCGCAGATGGGAACCCGGCCGTCCCCTTGATCCTCACAAAAGCGGAACCCGTGAGATTAGCGCTGGCATTGCCCAGGTGCGGAGGGCTTGCGTGGCGTGTGAGTCCCCAGAAGCTGAGTCGGGGTCTGCCTGACCCCAGAGCCGGTGTGCTCGTCCCGGGGCCACAGTCGGGCTCCTGCCCCTCCTGGAGGGTTCGTACCCTCACCCTCGCCCGGTCATGGGTGACGATGCCGCCACCTCACCCCATCCTTCGCACAGACCTGTCCGCCCTGCGGTGTCTCCCGTGAGCCAGGCAGGCGATCTTTTCACTGTCAGCTGTGGCCACACAGCACCTTTCCAGGTCCTCTCGCTTGCAAGGAGGTGATGAGGGAGGACTCCACCTGTTGTCGTGTCTTCTTTATTTGTTTTGTTTTTAGAACCCTGGCTCTTTTTTTTTTTTTTTTTTTTTTTTAAACAGGCAGAGTGGACAGTGGACAGTGAGAGAGAGAGACAGAGAGAAAGGTCTTCCTTTGCCGTTGGTTCACTCTCCAATGGCCGCCTCGGCTGGCGCACCGTGCTGATCCGAAGCCAGGAGCCAGGTGCTTCTCCTGGTCTCCCATGGGGTGCAGGGCCCAAGCACTTGGGCCATCCTCCACTGCACTCCCGGGCCACAGCAGAGAGCTGGCCTGGAAGAGGGGCAACCGGGACAGAATCCGGCGCCCCGACCGGGACTAGAACCCGGTGTGCCAGCACCGCAAGGCGGAGGATTAGCCTAGTGAGCCGCGGTGCCAGCCAGAACCCTGGCTCTTAATATTCTGAAGGTCGAGGTTGAGTGTGCAAGTCGATAATAACGTTCTCCATTACGCTGGGGGTGGGAGGAACAGCCAGGTTCCCCGATCAGCAAGGAAGCCCGGCATGTGTGTAGCTCTCAACTGCTTACAAAGAGCTCTCCCTCGTCCTACCCGTAGCAGCCCTCTGAGAGCAGCTCAGGCCGAGGCCAAGGGCGAGGAGGCCGCGTTGGAAGACAGGAACCTGGGCCCGGAGCCCAGCCCCGACTCTGAGGGGCCGGGAGTTCCTCACCTATTTTATATTTTGAATTATCATGCAGTGAGATTGACTTTAACAGTTGTATGAAGTTTTACGTATATGC